GAGCAATTTGCGGCCATCCCAAGTATATTTAAATTAACAAATTCCTTTTTGATTAGTTTAAAAAATTCAACTGAATACTGTTGATGATTAATATCGTGCAAAAGTAGAAATTGAACATTTACCCAATCATAACGCATCGTTTGTGTCAAATAATTTTGTTTATAATTGAAAAATGTGTTCGGAATATAAATAAGAGTTTCATATTTAAATGGTAAACTGAACACCTGACAACAATAATACAGACCATTATGAATCGAATTTATGAAACAACCAATCTTCCATCCTGTTCGAAGCCAGTACTCAGACTGAAATGTTTTTATAATATTGTCAGTTGTTGGATTTGAAAGTATAAAATCAGACGATATAGTAAAGATAAAATAAAATTGAAAATCAACCAAATTTTCAAGATTTGACAAGGAGCTATGATTCTCTAAAAAATGAAAAATTATTTGTGATGAATAAATAATTAGCTGAATCTTCTAATTATACTCATTTGCAGTACGTCAGTTATTACAAATCCTTATATTCAAGTAGCATATGCTAAATGGTAGCAGATAGAAGGAAGCATCCCGATTTTCTCGCAGCCATATTTTAACAAGTTACAATCAGATGTGTATATTTATAGGTTTATGACGGCGGTAACGGCATCAAGTAGTTGTGTAGTATATTCAATTGACTTACGTGTAAGATAATAACCATCAATGAACTGTTGACGGTCGAAACACATCATATTTACTGATAATCGTTCTAATTTACGAAATAAACTCAACAGAGAATTAATTCGATTATAGCTTTTGGCTATTCCTCTAAGAACAAAATAGAATTCAGTCAAATAATGAAATCTATTCGATATATTCAAATCTTCTGTGGCGTCCATTTTGTCAACTGTAACATCCACATATTCAATGACTGGCCAGCGGTTTAGTAATGAAAGAAAATCATCATAATTTTTCAGTATTACTGTTAATTTTCGACGTGCCAATGACAAACTATATGGTTGATTTTGTAAATCCGGAATTGATTCTTTGCATTTTATGTTCAAAATTGTGATTATTGATTGATCACAAAACAATATCACTTCAAATATTTCATCGGACTTCAAATTAGCTATTTCAAGCTTCAAGCTGAATAATGATCGAAACGACTGAATAGAATACATGAACAATCGACCAATGTCAAACTGTTTAACAATTTCGAAATGTTTCAAATGAGGAAATAATTGAGTAATGGATTCTGAGTGCAACGAAAGTATTTTTTCAAGTGTTTCAATATCATTTAATATTAAACTCTGAATATTTAATCTAATTGACGGGAGTAATATAGTGCAAAAATATTCAACAATAGACGAATTAGCGTTTGTCAGATCGATTTCCCGCATATATCTCTGAATTATGAGATGATATCGTTTGCTTACACAGAAAAATGAATATAAAACATGAATCGACGGTAAACGGTCCATTATCATCAACAGAATCTCATTCGGCATTCGACACAATATTGATGAGTTATCGTCGCACTAGGTAGTTATAAGAGAAAAACATACGTTAGCATTTACTTCAGTTAGAACAAAACTAGATTCTTACACATGACTCAATATGAAAACAACTGATGAATTCTTGCTATGAACATATTTTCGAAAATTAAGAATGTATCTTCGGTTCATTCACGTCTCAATTTGAAACTGTACCAATAGTTTGGTATTTATCGTGCTACAAAATTCTAATCGTATAGAAATCGCATGTGTTTTACATCGACTATTTTTTATCAGTTCATAGAAGAGATACCTTGCTGTCAAAGTTAATAAACGAACGCAAACACCGACGCTAGACAGCAATGAAGTGAGATCCTTCATAGACAGTGAGCTACTAGAAACGCCTTTAAAAAGTTTCGCCCCATGGCACTTGCTTTAAAATTTATGAATTCTTTTATTTTCTTGCCCAAAGAGTCCTAAAAATCCTAAAAGTTCAGTAACTTAGCCAAAACAAGGAACTAGGAGCTGAAATTTCTTCTTACTATTAAGATAAGACTGTTACTATAAAAGAAACTTTTTGCTTTCTATTCCAATTAGTCGAGATTATCGATTTTCTTTTCTCTTAGCGAAAATCATGTGATTTCTACTATTCCTGTTAAAAAAACTCGAAGACTGCAGTAGCAATGATCTGCAGTTTTTACTATCAACTGGAAATTTTCTATATTGCGTCAGATATCGCTCTTCAAAACCTCAAGACTTGACAAAAAAACTGTCTTGTAGATTGACGTCTAACGAACCTAGCTACATGACAGTGAAAACAGAAGATTAATTGATAGCGCGGTCACTGAATCCTTGAAATAGTACTCACATGCATTCTATTTTGAAATGGATAGTAGAAATGCTGCACATGCGATAGCACGCTGAACCTAAAATATGAAAACTGTCGTTCAAATCTGGATAGAACCTGGATAGAAACAGTTGATCTCTCATCGTGGATATGCACCATTGGTCCAACACCAAACATAAAATCAGTTACTAATTACACTTGATTGAATTAATGAAAAAAAGGCTAAAAGTCTGATCTGCTAAAATCATTTCAACTTCGATCTAGTCTACTAGTTCGATAGAATTGCTTCCACAGTCTACAATCCCAGCACTAGAACATGGAAAGACGGCTTCAGTTTTTCTTAAAAGCCGCCAGTAACTAAAACTGATAATACCAACACCAGCATCAAGAGTGAAACTTTCCTCTATAAACTGTGATTCAACTTCAAGAATTTATAGATTGCAGTTACTCAAGGCGAGCGATCTTATCTATCCTGTTTTACAAGTGCTGATCAAACGGCCATCCAGAAAAAAGTGCTTCCTGTTCGGACTTTTTATCAAATTTTTGGCGGCTTTTCTTCTGGCCTTGAATACATTGCAAAAGAATCACAATCAATAATTATCGATTGAAAAAAAATTCCAAGCCTGATACGTTAAAACTACACCATTATTACAAACTGTACTTTTAACGTATCAAGCTGGAATTTATTTTCAATCGATAATTATTGATTGTGATTCTTCTGAAATGTAATGAAGGCCAGAAGAAAAGCCTGCAAAAATTTGATAAAAAATCTGGACAGGAAGTACCTTTTCCAGATGACCGTTTGATCAGCACGTCTATAACAGAATGATTCACAGAAAGACCAGGAAAAGAAGGAAGGTCGGCCTTTCTTGCTGGTCCATCTTTCGTCGCTAGAGGCCTAATATTTTATAGGCCATAGGCCGTGTTTTGTTCCTTCATATGTGATGGGTGTGTAATCTTGGAAAAAAAAGAAAGTATCATACGAAGTTTTTCAAAGAGAATGATGTTATATATACTGTATATCGTCGCAAAATTTCTCTGGTACACATGGCTCATCGATCTAATGATATCATGCAAGATCTTATTTGAAAAGTCCACTGAAAGGTGAGATTAAAGCTGTACTATCACCACTATCAAAGAGATCTTGTTCATTAAACATTCACACAAAACGAAAAAAGCTATTTTAAAATGTCTCATAAAAGCTTTTTGAAAATGATCTATTTCATTTTTAAATATATATAATTCTCTAGTTGGCCTTCCTATAATGGACTAGTCCGTTAACTCTTAAACAGCGAGGCAATGGATGATAACGACAAAATTGTTTCAAAATAATTTTCACAAACGATTAACAACCGTATTATGATGTCATGTGTTGCTGTCAAAACTATTGGGTGAACTAAGTAATGTGTGTTTTAATGCGACGTATCCTTATGAATATTAATAACGAGAAAAAAAGGAAGGAGACAAATATACATTTTTGCTCAGAGAATAGAGAATACACATTTTCTGTGTAAGAGAAAACACACATTACTTAGTTAACCTAATACCAGGGATGGTCGGTTCTCGTGAAGAATCGGAACCGCGGTTCTGTAGACCGTTCATTTCTTTTTGAACCGAGACTTTTTTGACCATGGATAATACAGTTTTATTTCGAGAAACTATATTTATGCGGATTTTGAGAAGAACTGAAGCCATCTTTCCATGTTCTAGTGCTGAAATTGTAGACTGTGATGCAGTTTTATCAAACTAGTAGACGGGAGCGAAGTTCAAATGATTTTAGCAGGTCAGACTTTTTTTAGTTTTCAGAGCTTTTTCGTTCTCAACGATTAAACATAGTAAGACAGAATTCAATAGTGAGAAGTATAAACAAAAAATTATTTCTCATCCTTACCTGAGCAAAATCCTGTGCCTGATTCAGGATAAAGATGGTGGATAAAACAGTTTACAAATACCACAACTGATTCCAAAGTTTGATATCTTAGATTAAAATACTGAACAAGTAGATTTATTTGGATCTAATTGGGAAAATATATTTATCGATGCTTGTAAGTTGTTTGCTTATATTTGCATATAAATGATGTTCTTCATTTTTAAATATATATAGTTCTCTAGCTGCCTTTCTTATAATTGACTAGTCCGTTAACTCTTAAACAAAGAGGCAATGGATGATAACGACTAAATTGTTTCAAAATAATTTTCACAAACGATTAACAACCGTTTTATGATATCATGTGTTGCTGTCAAAACTATTGGGTGAACTAAGTAATGTGTGTTTTAATGCGACGTATCCTTATGAATATTAATAACGAGAAAAAAAGGAAGGAGACAAATACACATTTTTGCTCAGAGAATAGAGAATACACATTTTCTGTGTAAGAGAAAACACACATTACTTAGTTAAACCAATACTAGGGATGTTCGGTTCTCGTGAAGAATCGGAACCGCGGTTCTGTAGACCGTTCCTTTTTTTTTGAAGCGAGACTTTTTTTTACCATGGACCCAAGCATGAATTCGTAAGCGAAAAAATCTAGATACACTTGCTGGGGTATCGCCCGATACTCCAGCAAAAGTATCTAGATAAAAGAGTGAAAAATATCGGGTCATCTAGATGCATCGGGTTTTACTCGATTACATGATGCAATATCCGATGCATCTAGTAAGAAATTATGATTGATAGAAAACAATAAGAACTAGGTATATCTAGCGATTAAGCGTACGGTTCGTCTAGCTGTTTAAAAAAAAGAATCGCTGGATATAAAAAGCGTTAGAATTAGTTGTAAATCGTGGTGCAAAAAAAGGAAGAAAGAAACATAGCTCGTGCAGAGATTCGAACTCTGTACCTAGAGATCAGTAGTCTTCTATCTACGCCATTGTACCACACGAGCTTACATAAATAGATATACATTTTTCATTCTCACCTTGTTATTATGGACAGCGATAATTTAAAATAACGAATTAACAACAATAAGCGTTTCTCACCATGATGGAAGCATTTATTAGACTTGAGTCTAGAACATGAAATGCTGGAAATTTAATTTCTTAAAATTTTTCTACTGGTGTTAGGTCTCTAAAAGTTGATCTTCAGACTAAAAAGTGGTGTTTTGTGCTTTTTATCTTGAAGATCTAGTTGTACAAAGCTGAGCCTGGCAGATAAAATTTAGAAAACTAAATTTGCTATACATTCTGTTCCAAACTCAAACTTGAGAAGTACTTTGTTCGTGGTGGGAAACTACAAATTAGCTGATTTTTCCGAATTTTCACTGTGAAGGAGATGTTTTCCAAACTTGAGCCTAGAAGATGAAAGTTAGAAAATTAAATTTCCTCAATTCTATCTGTTAAGCTCAGTGTTGTACAACTTGAGCTTCACGGTGCAAAATGGTAACTACTGTTTCTCCTCATTTAGAACAAGCTGATTTCTCACTAGTTGCATCTAGCTGGAAATCGCTTTACACTAGATGCATCCCTCGATTTCAACGATAGAATGGAATGGAATTGACTTAAACCGGTGTTCAAGCAGATGAATCGATCGATATATCCCACGATGCATCGCCCAATACATTGTACGATATATCGGCAGCTTTATCGGGCGATTTCACACGTGTCTCATCTGCAGCCGATATACAACTAGATTCATCTTCCGAGATATTGCCCGATGAATCGGGTTAAAATCGCTACTAGATACATAACTAGATACATCTAGAAAAGAATCGGCTATATTTAGATGTATCGGCCGGTAACCCGATTCAACTTTTTCTCTTTTTTACGCATCTAGATGTATCGCGTTTTGTATCTAGTATATCTAGCTGCATCGGGCGATACCCGATACATTTTTCATGCTTGGGGATACTACAGTTTTATTTCGAGAAGCTATATTTCGCGTTCATAAGGTATACTTGTGCGCAACTTCTTTTACATGAGATCTTCTATAAATGGCAAGTTAATCAGGATTCAACAAAGATTGAGATGTGTTATTCGAGAAAATGAGCCAACTGTTAACTTAATAGTTTGTCTGATCTTAAAACTGTTACGGTCAAGCGATAGAAAAGTACAGAATTGAAAG